GTTTTTATTCACTTTTGCACAATAAAAGCGATCTGTAACATTTTTTGCATATTTCACAAAAATTTATGCATTCCTGTACCGTTTCAATGGAGTTTTTAGGGGCTTCGGTCATTTACTCCAAGAATATTGACTGATACCCGCAGTGCTAGCATATCTCAACGAGAAACTCCAGAAAAATAGTTCGGACTTGCTGCTGATGGCGACCACATTTTATTGAAACGCTTCTACGCTCAACTGACTTGGCACCATGTGATTTCATTGTGTGTGGTTATGTGAAAGGCCTGGTCTATGTTCTATCTCTTCCTACACGTGTAAACATATTCAAGGAGAAAGTCACTAAGGCTCTGAAGACTGTTACTTATCAAAGGCTGCAGCAAGTGTAGCAGAAACCTGAATACCGACTTGATGTGTGCCGTGTTTCAAGTGGTGCACACATCGAACATTAGGAATAACTTCATTACTTTTTAGAATTACCACCTCACATAGTTTTCCATTAGAAATATTGAAAACAACTTGCCGTGAAGGCTTTAAAGGATTTTACTAATTAACCTGACTCAGCTATGAAAAACTTAATGGCCTCGACGGGATTCGAACCCATGACAACCAGGACAAGACTTCAGCATAGCTAACGCTCTAACCACCTGAGCTATAAGACCTCACCAGGAGCCGTGATTTTACACATGCTTGGGCCAAGCTACCCGGCCAGTCCAGCGCAACATATAAAATCCACTAATTCTGATACAGTAATAAACCCTCCGACTTGCTGTCGTAGGTTCAATGCCCACGGGAACGCCAAGTTTTTCACAGTATCAGCTAAAGTCTTGCTATTTTCAAAATTAAATCTATTAAGTTTTTTATTCTCTTTACCACACATTCATTCCAATATGAACATCCAAGATGATGTAAGATTTGCAGAGGAACCTTGCATATTCGTTTACGTATTAGACCAGCTCGCTCCCTTAATTTTCTTGACTTTTAATGCTTTATTTTCAGTTACGGCATTACAAAGTCGAGTCTGGGCACCGTTTACAAACGAGTGCTTGTCGTGTGTGTTGTCTACTTCATCTGCTCAGCAATCGACTCTGGTATCCTCGTGCATCATGGACGTTTTAAGCCTTCGCTTTTGGTGCTCCTTGGGGGCCTGCCACTCATCTTCATTGATCTAGTCATCCTCTGGTGGAGCCTGAGCTACCTGGCGAGCACTCTGCGTGAGACTAGGATGCGGCGAAACGCCGTTAAGTACCGCCTTTATCGTACCTTCAGTGGTCTTCTCATTTTTGTTGGCATCGGTAAGCAACAGCGTCCTCCCCCACAGTTGTTATTCTTCGGTCTCCGTTGTCTATTTTTTGTAAAAGTTCAATTTATAAGCGCATTCGGAGGAAAAGTGAACTTTTAAAAACTCTGAGTGAGGAAGAAGACTGTTCAATCACTGGAACAATTGTTCAGAGCTCTCTGACATACTTGTACTTGATACGATTGCTTACCAGACCGTATAAAGGAACGGGCGTCGTGCTAATGAACAGCTCGGACTAAGTAACGAAGATGCAAACCATACTATCGGATCAGACGAAATTTAAGAATGTAAGTGTACCTTTAGGGGTTGTACGGATGAAGTAGGGGTACAACTAACCGAATTCTTAAGATTCTCCAACCATTAGGCACACAAATCCCTTGTCTGTATGGTCTACCTGAGATTCACAAGGGTGGCCTGGCAGTTCTATTTTGGATATGCGAAACGCGCCGTATCATGCAATAGCGAAGTGGTTAACAGAGAAACTCAAGCCTTTACAGCAACAGCTGGCACCACGTAGCTATCGAGGAAGTACAAGGACACGAACTTAAGCGGCCTGATGCTTCTCTCCCTAGACGTCTCATCGCTGTTTACAAAACCCACAGTCGCAGAGACAGTCGAGTACACGTGTGAATTCTTATTGGCAAATAAAATTGAAATAGGAATAGCAGCGCAAGCATTAAAGGAAATATTATTAAAATGCACATTAAATGTGCAGTCCCTTTTTGACAACTAACTATATAGACAAATAGATAGCGTCTCTATGTGTTCGACCCTTAGACCTCTGTTGGCTAATATCTTCATGGGCAAGCTGGGGAAATTTCAACATAAAACGATATTTTCATTTCGACGAAGCTCCCTGAGGCTATCGGGATGGGTATTGGATCTTGGAGCCTTCATTAGGTACTGCCGGCAGCAATTTACTACAGTCGATTTAAGGTAATCAACTTCTCTAGAATCAGAGAGTTTTAGATCCGAAATCTCACTAAGGAGACTCTAGTATTGGATTTCAAGTTCTTGTATTGTTTGCTTCACCTGTGCGATGCAAAAATTAGGACCCAGAGATAGTACTTCTAGGCGAGTTTCGTCAAGACATATTGAAGAATATTTATGCACGTACCGCTCCGGATTGTTGGGAAATGCGGTTTGAACCTTCCCTGATTGGACACTTCGTAGAAGCTTAGTCCACCTGACCTCGGTTCTCCTATTTCTGACTGTGCATAGTCTTGGAAAGCCAGTCTCTCAAGACTTCCGAGACGGCCGAGAGCCACAGTTTTCTGACAACTATTCCGCCGAAGCTCCTGAATTCCGGCCCTAACTGTCTTCAGATGACTTTCCATATATAGTCGTAGCGTGGTTGAAGTGAGGGTGACATGGTTCCTGCGCAAGTTTCCCCGGTAGTATTTCGGATATTCCCCGCGATCAATACATCCTGATATGAATTGGGAATTAACGCTTGCCCCCCTCCCCCTGCTACGAGGACCATATACAGGGTGTCCACGAAGTCTGGGTACATAGGGGATAAATACATACCTTTAGAACAAAACAATTTTATTTAATTGTAATGTTAAGAAATTATACTTTCAATATGATTTCCATTATTTGCAGTGCATAATTCGATGCGCCTTGCTAAATTCTGGTGAACTCGATTGAATAGGTG